GGAGTGCTCAAAGAGCGGCTCCCACAGCAAGGAGGGGCCCCGTGAATCATCGCGGTGCCCCCTATCAAACGGTTATCTTACCAGTCTGCGTGACACAATATCATCCAGCACATGTATCCAACAACAATGTTCGCAGACCCACGAACAATATACGCTCAGCTCGTTAGCACCCGGCTGGATCACTTGGGTCTATTGCTTATTGAGAGCAGGGATCTCCGGGGCCGGACCCCTCGCCAGGCGCTGACTGAAAAGAACATAATGGACCCCGTGCGTGAAACTTTTGTCACCAATTGCTCAACCATTTGTCTAGTCAGCGAATCCCGGCTACTCACTTTCCCAAGCACCATTATGTTCTTTTCAGTCAGCGCTGACTGGTCTAATGGTGTAAATTTATCTTACAAAAGATACGCTCAGCTCATTTTTCACGCAACCAAGCCAAGGTTCTATTTCTGAGCCAGGATTGACACGTAACGTGCCTGAGCGGGCAAAGCTCTGTTGTTCAGCGATGGCCTCAGCTGTCGCCTTGGCCGCTTGCGCCACGATGTGTGCGACGCTGCTGGGGTCGTTGAAGGTAGCGCTTCACCCTGGCTGGAGGGTGATGGCTGGCTGCCGGTAGGTGGGACTGGGTTGCCGGCTGATGGTGGTTGGGCGTAGGTGACTTCACCCTCGTTGATCCTGTTAGCTTCAAGTTCGGCTTGTACTCGTTGCTGGATGATCTCCTCCACTTTTTGCTGTAGTTCTTGCTCGCTAAAGTGGAAATTTCAAGGACCGATTTTTGTTGTCTCTCCATAACTTTTGACTGAGAGCGAGTAAAAGAAAAAGAAAAACAGCTTCGGAACGCCCGCGGCAAGGCGCAAAAGAGCAGCGAGTCGCCGAAAAAAAAAAAAGGAAAAAAAGAGAAAAAAAAAAAGAAAAAAAGATGCTCGCGGCGGGTCTCGAACCCACGAAATTGGCCCTAGAGCAACTTTTCCCCCATATATGTTGTTAATCCTTTTTTTTTTTTTCGCACCAAACCACCCACACGTGCACAGGAACGCCCTCAAACACTATGCAAATGCGTCTACCGCACCTACAGCGTACATACATCACAAAAATTGGCCGTTTTCAACAAAAATGTTCCATTTTTGTACAACATTCCCACCAGAAACACGGAAAAAAACTGAACAAATACAGCTCAATGAACAAGAATGCGCCATCGACTCTACGGCCTCCATTCCTTCGGGGTCGGGCGCCTGTGCGGCTTGTACTTCTTGTACGTCTTCTTGCCCTCAGACCCTTGCACACGCGTCTCACGGTACATGAGGGCGAGTGTGTCCGCCTTCTTGCAGTAGCCCTGGACTACCGANAGCTTCGGAACGCCCGCGGCAAGGCGCAAAAGAGTAGCGAGTCGCCAAAAAAAAAAAAAAGGAAAAAAGAGAAAAAAAAAAAGAAAAAAAGATGCTCGCGGCGGGTCTCGAACCCACGAAATTGGCCCTAGAGCAACTTTTCCCCCATATATGTTGCTAATCCTTTTTTTTTTTTCGCACCAAACCACCCACACGTGCACAGGAACGCCCTCAAACACTATGCAAATGCCTCTACCGCACCTATAGCGTACATACATCACAAAAATTGGCCGTTTTCAACAAAAATGTTCCATTTTTGTACAACATTCCCACCAGAAACACGGAAAAAAACTGAACAAATACAGCTCAATGAACAAGAATGCGCCATCGACTCTACGGCCTCCATTCCTTCGGGGTCGGGCGCCTGTGCGACTTGTACTTCTTGTACGTCTTCTTGCCCTCAGGCCCTTGCACACGCGTCTCGCGGTACATGAGGGCGTGTGTGTACGCCTTCTTGCAGTAGCCCTGGACTACCGAAACAGCCTGTCTATCCTTCTCTGGTCTAATACTCAGCGGCACGTTCTTGGGCAAGCATTCCAACGAATATTAGCAGTCCTTTCGAGTCCAGTCCTTCACTCGGCCCCAAACAAGCTCGATGGGGTTACACTCGCAGTGGTACTTAGGAAGCATGAGACAGGCTCCCGCGTGGCGCTGCATCAACAGCACCAGACTAGAATCAACTTCCTTGAAGTCCTTCTGCTCTCCCAAAACGTGCTCCATGCTCTTGCTGAGGTCCTGCTTTTCGCCCGAGCCCCCCGTCTTACTCATGCCTTTGACCAGGAGCCCCCTCTCCCACAAAATCTGCCGCATTCCTTTCAACTTTCCGACATATTGCGCCGGCTTGAGATGCGGGGAGTGGAAGGGGGGATCGTCCCCCCTCCGAAACACCAAGTGCTGTACCGTGCCGGCTGGGAGGTTCGGGGTATCTTCGAGGATGGTCACGGGGTCCATCGGCGCAAGCTCTTCTCCGTTCCTCACACCACCGACACCCAAGTTCATTCTCTTCACCGACGGTGCGCCGACCTCCATGCAGTCATGACAGGACCACCAGTCGAACAGGCCTACAGGCTTGTGCTCAGGGTAGAGAAATGTGAACATGTCGAGCACGTCTGACATGTGGTCCAGCATCCTGAGCCTGGTCCAGTATCCCTCCTTGTCCTTGTCGTACTCGAAGAGGTGGTAGGACCAGTACTGTCCATGCTCGTCTTCATGAAGCATGTCGATGGGGCGGAACTTCTCCACCTTCACGTTTTCCCCCCGTCGCTTCGCGGCAGCTGAGGCGGCGCATCGTTTCCTGCGGTTGCGCTCCGCGTCCTGGATCTGTGCCCGCGACGCCGAGAAGAAGCCAACGTTGTGGATTATCGCCCGCGACACCATGATCCCTTGGCCTTATGACTTCTTCACGGGCACATGCTGGCCGTCCCGATACCACGAGCGCCTCTGGTCGTCGTTGGCTGCAAATACAAACAAGAAACCGACAATTTAGGGGCGGCAGATGTGGCGCTGTCAACATGCGTGATTCAATTTAAAGTCCCACAATTGAATTGCGAGTAAGATTACTGTTCGCGCCCGGAATTTACACCTAAATTATCGAACCCGCTTTGCTCCGTTTAAAACTAACCTCGAAATATGCTCTCGTCCTGGTAGAGAAGCATGGCCCGCCTCCCGTCAGGGTAGGTTTTCTTGCTCTGCACTCTGGCTTGCAGGTCTTCGGGCAAGTCTGCCAGCGCAGACTCGAGATCATCGACACAAACCCAGACACCACCATCCGGCAAGCGCTCGGTCTCCTCCACCGTCTCGACGTCAACACCCCAGACGATCGCTTCATCCTTGCCCATCGGAATCCATACCTCCATGTAGTCGCGGGTGTCGAACAGCGCCGGGAGGAACTCGTCGTGCCGGTATTCAAGGGTCTTCTTGTCGTCGTGGCCATCGAAGTACAGCCCCTTTTTGCCGTCGTGGTATTCGCATCCCATCTTCTTCAGCCACTCCGTTGCCGTAGAAAGGGAGATTTGGCGCTTTGGCGGCTCGTTCTCCTTCACTTCCACCAGCTTTACTCTCAATCCATGGAAAGCGTTGATGCCGTCCTTTTCCTGCTCCTCCAGCATCGGCATGATGGTGCTGTTCACCCACTTGCGGAAATCCTCCGCCGTTTTATTGGCTTGCCCACTGAGTATCCCGCAGTTCTCGAGCACCCAGCCTTTCGCGAGCTTGAAGACGCCTTCGTCGAGCTCCAGCAAAAACCTGCGCTTGAAGCGACCTGTGTCAGGTTTTTTTATGCGTCCGTGGGCGATGAAATCCCGCTCCCACTGCTGTACTGTTTGAACGGTTCTCCGTCCAACCTCTGCTGCGATGGCCAGTGCATCCTTCCGGTCGAAGCCGTCGGCCTGCTGGGTGTACAACTGGATCAATGTCATGGCCACTTGCACCGTGTGCGCCAGCTGAAAGTTGGACAAACAGCTGTCTTCCGTACTTGTATCCTGCGCGAAGGGGGAGTGTCGAGGGTGGCAATAAACCTTTAACTTTCAGTGGCCAATTTGTTTGACAGCAGCATTTCAAGTGTAATTTTTCAAGGTTGAGTGCAGGCAAATTAATTTGCAGAGCGGGTGCGAAGTACTTGCAGGATGGTCAAACTCCGACGGCGGAGGTTGCAGATTGGTGCCGCCCGAGAAACCCCGCCATTATAAATTAATAATAATGTCGTGAGATGAATTTACAGCAGTGTAGATTATTACAGACCTCAGAACCCCCAGGTTCGAGCACGGCATGCGTGAAGAAAAAAGAGGATCACACTTAATTTAGACTGTGTAGACTACTGCCCTCACGTCGTTCATCTCCGCGGCTGCGCTGATCGTCTTCGCCACATCACTCACAACGCCGTCGAGGAGCTCAATGCTCTCAGCGTGAAACTCGTCCGCCGCTGCCGCCAGCAGTCGAGCTTTCATCTCCGCCCCTTTCGCACGCCTAATCTTCTTTGCAGCTTGAGATGTGCGGTAGGTGCCCTTGTTCAGGTATCTCGTCTTCGCCTCTTCGGCCCACTCGGGTTCAACTCTATCCACGTCCGCACGACTTCTTCCAGACTGCTTGCAGAGAGGTTGAATGCCCCAGGAACGGCCTCCTCTAGTTTCTGCCGAAGTGTCAACGCACGCATCCGCCGGGCCGCCCTCCCCAACTTTCCAAAGGGCCGCCCACTGTAGTCCCGTTATCCACCCCAATTTGGATCTCGCGATCTTTGCGCGCCTGCGAGACCGATTTCTTGTAGTGAACCAACGGCTGGCGCTGCGGCTCGAACTGCGGGTGCGGTTGAATCCCGCGGTGGTGCTCTCTGCACCGGGGCGTACGCTGAGTTCTTGAGTTGAACGGCATCCCAGTCAGCAGCAGTCACCTCGTCTATGATGATTCCCTCCGCGACGGCGTCGCGGCCGCGTGGCTTCCCAGACGTGATCCAGCGGCTCCGCCATTTCAACTCAGTATTGTTGGCTCGCGACCTTGAGTGCAGCACTAACCGATACTTTCGTGGCTTCTGTCTCTCGATGCTGAGCTTGTCGCGCAGCGTGTATCCGTCAGGAACCAACTGCTGCGGGCAGGAGACCCTCTCTTGGTCGAGTTCCATTTGGTTGCCGGTCTTCACACCAACATGTGTACACCTACCGGCGGCTGTGTGCGACGCGGCCCAAGCGCTGGTTCGGCCGCGATTTTTTTGAAATTTGAAACTTGGTTTATTTCTGTCTAGGGCCTGGCAAAAAAGAAGAGTTCTGAACCAGGTGATTTAGAACCAGTTTGTTTCAAGGATTCCAAAAATATATATTTAAGGAGAAATAAATACACGCACAGAAAGACTACCCATTCGAGATATACCCACAGTCGAACGGGATGTGGTGGAGTATTTTCAGTAAGTGGAGGAAAACCGGCTGGGTACTGGACTTATTTCGAGTCTTTATAAGTCTATACACTGATGATTTATCAGTAATGCCAGCTGGTGCTAAGTAGAAAAGCATCTGTATAGGTAAATCTACATTTTACAATACATCCCCTGTAGTTCTCTACTGGGTCAACGACAAAATATCGGGGAGAATCCCTCCGTAGCGTCGTGTACTGTAAGATGTAACCTTCACAGGCGACACGGCGCAGTGTCTATTGACAGCTTGATGGTTTTAGGAATATGAGGAGAAATAAATAATAAATAATATTGATGTACAAATCATGGAAGATGGAAAGAAGGCTACAGCAGTACATCACTCGTTTTTCAAACCAATATTATTCTAGATTTTTGAATTTCACGGGCAGTAGGTGTTTCACGCCGTTTTTATAGAATTTACAAAAAAAAAAACTTATTTGACCCTTTGGGGTAGCGTATCACTGATGCTTACAGTAGAAGAGAATGGCACACCTGGTGGTGCATGGTAGGTAGGGCATAGCGTATATATATATATTTTCACAGCGGTGGTGGGGGCACGACAAATCGTAATTTACCGTTTCCGCCGCGTTTTTGGTGAAACGGTATATTCGGCATAACTCGTCACCAAGGTGTCTGTGAAAGCTGAAAGTGGGTTCACTCGAAAGCCCTGGTTCATAGTTTTCGAATGGTGTATATATTGTTGGGTAAATAACCAGGCCCTAGAGATAAATTTATCAAGTGGCCTGTGGGCGGGTCCAGGAAAACTACCACTTTAAGGGCGGAGAGGTCGATGCCCTCCATGATTTATGTTGTTATGGGAGTCTACCGATTGCGCGTGATTGCACAACCCCCGGAATGCTACGCCCGCGCGCAGATACCGTGATGGTCTAATGGTGTAACTTTATCTTATTAGGGCCGTTTTAAACGGACCGACTTCTTGTCATTTTTTTTTTTTCTAAATGACACAACGAGTCCATCTCTATCATAGAAAAGAGTCAGAGACAGATTAACAATGGAATCATAGCGTCCGAGAAAACTACCTATGTGTCTACGATTTCCCAGACAGCATATAGGGACATCTCCCCTGTGGGTAACAGGCTCAACAAATCAGTTTGGTAGCTGTCTTGTGTGTCTCATATATGTTATGTTGGGAAGGTGCAGACGAAAGGTGTTGGGTACTATTGGGTAGTCGGGCGTTTTGTGTGTCGCACCCTACCCTTCTTCCCCTCGCTCCTCGACAAGCTTTTGCTTAGACATGGGTTGTAGTGAAGGGGGGGGTCTTTCTGGCGAGCAGGGCTAGACTCACCCTCAAGGGATGACCGAAACCTTCTTGCTGCTGCGCATATCCGCCGCGAGGCATGCGCGTGGTGGTGTAGTTGGGTCGGCACTGATGGGGTCAGGCGAAAAAATGTAGATGCGCGGGCCTCTGG